TTTATTAATGTATTATAATCATATTATTAAATATATGTATCTCCTTAGAGATAATAAATATTTACTTTTTTATTGTTTTAAAGCTGCGTGTTTTTAAAATATTTCTTTATAAATATGTAAAATAAATAATAGGTATCTTTTGAACTAATTCTAGATGATCATATACATTTCAAAATCTAGTCTTGTTTTCTCAACTACATTTTTTGTCTCAAATTTAATGCCTAGCTTGAGCCTATGACTTTATTTATTTTACTTAATTTATTTATTACTTTGCGAGTATATTTTACTTATAATATTAGATGGTTTTCGAGGGGGGGGGGGGCGCTAAAAAGGTATTGTGCCCCGGGCGCGAGTTTAGCTCGCTACGGCACTGCAAAGCCAGGCATCACCTGAGAATATCTTGAACTGTTTAGGGCAGGACTGGAACGACATTCATTCCTCTCCCCGCTTAGTTTCGGACTTCCTAAATGTCAACGGATTTATTGATCTGGTCTGACTCCGTCAGACCAGATTAATAAATCCGTAGCTCAAGTTAAGCGGGTTCGAATCGCACCGACCACAATACCAACGTAAAGATATCCTCAGTGGTAGACGGATCATGGGTTAGAGACTCCTTGCCTTGAAGCTTACCGAGGGAGTTTTTCCTCTCCATGTAACTCATTTTCAGGTTAGTTAAATCAAAAAGTCTTCCACGAAGGCTAATTTCTCCCAATACTTGATCCAGGAGGTTCCTTTGTCTTCTGGAATGGGTTCAGAATTACAAGGTTACGGAGTTGAACATTGGCAGTCGTAAACCTAAAATTGGGTCGGCTGCTGTTCAACGTCGGTTTAAAATAAAATAAAATTCTCTATGGCCTCCAAAAGTAAAGGTAGCATAGAATTAAGTGGACATTTTACTTGGAAGAAATGTTCACCAAACAGTTCGGTATTGAAAGTGTTATAAGAATTCATATAAATAGCAAGAGGGACAGAACTAGAATCTATTCAATTGCCTTCGAAACATAAGCTTCTGTCGGTTATTTCAGTTATGTATTATCAATAGTTGGCGTTACAGTTCTGCAGTTTTTTTTCATTCCGTGGTTATGTGAATTATAGCAAACTTAGATTGTTTCTCGATATTGTTTTTCCTCATACAATTTTTAAACTAATTGACCTATAGGAGTGTTTTAAAAACATTTTGAAAGAAGCCAAATTTCAACTCGCAGTTACCTATTTTTTTCCCTCACACCTCCCATAAGCTAGTTTTCAATAAAATTATGAAAAATTCCCCTTGAAATTGAAATTACGCTCGCAGCAACAAAATTTTAAGAAGAATTTTGAGCTTTCTTTCTTTAGTAAGACCGGGAAGTCTGTAGTATTGATATGCTCTGATAGTAGCAACGCATTATCCTTTGTATGTTAGGGTTAAAGTGTACTTGTTTTTAAGAGCTATTTGTATTTAATTTGAAAACAAAACATTCAGAAAAATTTTTTTATTCAATTACATTGATAATTTAAAATTTTATTTATTACCTTTTTCAGGAAGTAATGAATTTCCTAGCGAAGAAGGCTGCCATTTATTACACCTTCCCGTATAAAGTTGGGCTGTGTCTTCCATCTGGCTGCAATTTAGATGAAATTGATCAAGTCGTGAAAACAAGTGAGCCAAAACTTTATTTCTACAACTCATTACGAATTAGAATGAAAATAATCGCCCAAAAGATATATTTATTAATTATTTTTTTTTATATTTCTAGTGGCGAATAAATTGTTTTTATCAGCTGATGTTACTGTCAAATATTGTGAAATTAAAGAACCTGCTCACTACTCACTAGTTCATATGATCGCTGTGTAAGTTACTTTTTCTCTCACTATTTTTTATATTTTATTAATTTGTTCTTAGTAGTAACATGTTTTACAACGAGGGAAAATATTTGTAAGGACTCTTTTGATACATATTCTTAGAAAACTTGACAAAAATGAAATAAAAGTATACAATATTGTTGACAGCTTTAGTTCTTTAAAGCACGTTAAGATCCGGATATGTAAGAAATTAAAAAGTTAAATAATAAATATCTCACATTTCACTGGTTTGTAGTGCATGTACTGTTCCTCTACACATTGGATAGTTTTTTTCGTAGCAGAATCAGTGTAACTTCCTAAAGTAAGTAATTAAAATAAGAAATAAAAATGAACTTTTTATGTATCTAAATCACCTTGTTGGGATAGATTACGCGAAAAAGGATTGTTCATCAAAAGCATAATTTGATGAATCTATTGTAAACTAATAAGAGTGCGATTTCTGGCCATATTTATGGCATTTCTTGTCGCAGGAAAGTCGATAATATTTAAATATTGCTCGATTTTGTGGGTAACCTCAATTTTTCGAATGTGATTATAGTGAATACGCATCTATGTACAGAAAGAAATCATCGTAAAATTACAATACACGGCGTAATACACAATTGAAATAAAAACAGGGCAAGGTTTCGCAATCTTATAATGGATTTCGTTATTTCATGTACTTTTATTGGAACCGAGATAGCCTGGTTGGCAGAGCGCTGGACTCACGTTCGTGAGAACGAAAGTTCGAATCCGGGTGGCCAAAAACTCCCAGTGTAGTAAATTTTGACTGGTGCATGTTAAATCTGTCTGGTCACAAAGTCCTTCATATTGCCTTAACAAATTATACCTCAGGGGGTACTGAATTGGAGATTGATCGTTCTCTGGTTTAGGTGAAAATTACGATTTGTGGATGAATGAATGGATGTAAGGATGTGTCCGCCCCGTAAACGGGTGCGTCGTATGGGTGTGGTAGAAGCTGAATTCTTGGCCATAGATGACGCCACTGGAAAGCAAGCACTATCACTCCCCCTTGCCTTAATGGTCTACTACAACAACATGTAGTTTCGTTATTGAAACAGTAAATCATTTTACAAATTTAAATTTTGCCGAGCTAAATTCGAAAGAAAAAAAGAGCTGACCAGAGCATTTGCAACGCGTTAGTAGATAGGTCGCAAGGTAATATTTTTAAAATGGTAGCAAAATCGAGAAAAAGTTGATGTCTTAAGTAATTCGTATCCACCGAAAAAGTTTTTAACTTCAGCGAACTGTGTACGGGAGCAAAAATTATTAGGAATGTTTCTGTTATGCTCAAATGGAAGCTAAATTTGAATATTTTTAGTAGCTTTGAGAAACTTTAATTACCACTATGGATATTTTTTTCGAACATAGAAAATATGACTTAGAATAACTCCAGTGAAAAACCTAATGGTTGTATGGCAACGGAAAGATGAAAATGAATAAAAAAATATGGGAAGTTATATAGTGCACTTTTGTTTAGCCGCAAATTGATTCGTCTATTATCTAAGATTTTCTAGTTCCATTCATTCACTCATTTACTTTACTTAGTGTATCAAAAGTAATTATAACAGCTTGCGCACGTTTTTTTATTTGCAAATTTATTCGTTAGTTGTTTCATTCATTCACTCATTTACTTTGCTTTGTGTATCAAAAGTAATTATAACAGCTGGTGTAAGTTTTTTTATTCGCAAATTGATTTTTCTAATACCTGATCCATTAGACCCATTCATTTACTCATTTATTTCACTTTATGTATCAAAATTAATTATAACAACAGCTAGTGCATGTTTTTTTATTGGCAAATTGAGTCGCTAGTTCCATTCAGTCACTCATTTACTTTGCTTTGTGTATCAAAAGTAATTATAACAGCTGGTGTAAGTTTTTTTTATTCGCAAATTGATTTTTCTAATACCTGATCCGTTATTCCCATTCATTCACTCATTTATTTCACTTTGTGTATCAAAATCGATTATAATAACAACTAGTACATGTTTTTTTATTCGCAAATTGATTTGCCCATTGTCTGATTCGCTAGTGCCATTCATTCACTCATTTACTTTGCTTTTGTGTATCAAAAGTAATTATAAGAGCTATCGCTTATTTCTTATTCGCACATTTATTCTCCCATTATCTGATTCATTAGTCCCATTCATTCACTCATTTATTTCACTTTGTGTATCAAGAATTATTAAAACATTAAATGCATTTTTTTATTCACAAATTGATTCGCCCATTATCTGATTCGCTTGTTTCCTTCATACACTTATTTATTAACTTCACTTTATGTATCAAAAGTAATTAAAATATGTAATTTGTCAAACACAAATATAAATGAACGGTCGTCATAACAACAAGAAATATTGAACTACTACCTCAATTTAAATGATACTTGCTAAACTCTTTCAAGCTAATGTAAGCTTATGAATTTAGGAAAATGGACATTCTAATTTAAAATGCATTTTTACATTGCTATTACAGTTTCTAATATAAGTAAAATGCATTATTATTAAATTAATTATAATTAAAAATTAATTAATGAAAAAATTAATTCCTAAATTCGTTTTTTAACGATCTTTATTCGTTATCAGTAAATTTAAATGCAGTAGAAGCGTTTATAAGGAATCATTTTTCTGTAAAATTCACTTGGACTTTGATGAAGGTAATGTGTTGTTTCTATGCTTTAAGTTGCTATCTAGTGGAAATTCCAGAAACTTGTAAATTACCCACCGTAAAGTTGCCAAGGTATAGTTTGACGTGAAAATATCATATTTCGAAAAAAAGTATTGCTTATCCCGTTGCCGCAAGCACTTCATGTAGCAAATCAACATTTAACCTCAAACAATAATTTTTTTTAAACCATTTCAAACACATAAAAATTTGCGTCGTATTTTGCGAGTTTACCAACTGATAGGTTCCTTTTGTAAGTTGAAAATGAAATGTACGAAATGATTATTGAGTTATTCACTTAAATATTTGAATCACCATCTTAAATCTACTTTAGAAAAATTCGTTCGTTTTGGAACTAAGAGAAGAGTGCATTCAATACAGAAACATACCAACAAATACTAAAAACGAGTTACTAACGTATAACATGCATGCTATTTTATTTTTGCGATTTTATTACAATTGTTTAATTTCTCATGGTTTTGATTTCTAAAGTTACAAGTTAGAAGTAACAAAGAAATGTTTTGAGGGTCATTTATTTCAAGGAACATAATTGAACAGCGATGAAGTTCAAGGAAAGAGAATAATAAAATTTTGTTTATGAAGGGGAAAACATTGCATTTAAATAGATGAGTTGTTACGCATCGCTGACTTGAACATTATAAATTACATATGCAACGCATGGTTACGGAAGAAAACTTGCATATTTAAATTTACATCAAGTGTTTGATTATAGATAAACAATCTTTAAAAAAATTTGGCAATATCATACATAAGTGACAAGCACGAGTACAGCGAAGGAGCCAACTAGAATCAAAACAGAATTTCAGAATTTTTAAAGCACAGTTAAATCAGTATTAGACATATTATAAATTAATGAAAAATTTCAATCTCCCTCTGCTGTAATTGATGAATTGAGTGTTAGCTTTACAATGATATTATTTGTAATTAAAGTTAGATTTTATAATACAGCAGATGTGCCGAAAATAAATGGAAACAGAATTTCAAATTCAGATTTTCGGAATTTCAAAAACATAGCTAAATCAGCATCGAACTTATTATAAATTAATGAGAAATTTCTATCTCCCTCTACTGTAATGGACGAATTGAGTGGTAGCTTTACCATTTTATTACTGTAATTAAAGTTAGCTTCTATAATGCAGCAGAGGTGCCAACTGGAATCAAAACATAATTTTAAAAACAGAATTTCAGAATTTCAAAAACATAGCGGATGAATTGAGTGTTAGCATAACTATGATATTATTTGTAATTAAAGTAAGCTTCAATAAATTAAAATCAAAATTATTTACAAAAAAATAAAGAAATCTGCATAAGCTTTGTTTTCTACTATTTTTCTGTGTTGCAAGACTTGTATTGCAAAAGTCATTGCAGTGGCTGATGTTACGAGAGCCAGGACTAAGTTCATTGTGAGCCCCTCAAAAAGAGCCATATTTTCATAGTTTGTGGTACTATATAGTATAATTTTTTCATTTTTTCATACCCTTTATGTAAAATTGTAGATTTTTTGTTAAGGAAATTTTCTGCAATTTTCTTTTAAAAAGTAATTTACTATTCCTAAACACTATATTTTTGGTAAAAAAATTTAGATCACTCCCGTAGCAGTCCCAAACCCCGGGAAAATGCTCCTTCTCCTCTCCCCTTGATTACGATACGGCCATTGCTCATGTTTGTTTTAGTTGAATCTTAAATTCGTCAAAGAAAAATAATTCTTATATTGTGAAATCTTTGTTCAAAAAATGATGCTGATTTAAAGTTACAGTAAATTTAAAATGCCGTTAAAATACAGAATTACTTCACACTATTTTTTATTAGTAAAGATTGTGTCCTTTTATTTATTAATATATAAATTACATGAATCATGTCATGAATTGTTCAAATTCTTTAAAATCATAAGCGATTTATTTCCTTTATTAACTTGTTTCCGTCATATAATGTCAGTTACTTTTTTATCCTATTGTTTCATCACCGATTATAAAATGTACCAAGTAATACCCTGATTTCAGTTTGATATTCAATTTTCGATTCGTAGCATTGATAGAAATTTTCCATTTTTTAGACTTGTTTGCAGTGCTTTGTTTGGTATCACGATTCTTAGTACGGCATATGAAATCTATTTAAAAAATAAAGAAAAGAAATGTTATGGTAAGTTTTTTGAATAAAATATTGCAATATTCACCCCTAATTTTTCTAACATTTAAGTTTAAAATTTTTAATTTAATTTATATACATAAAGAAAAGGAATATTCTCGATTTTTAGAAATATTTTCTCGTTTTCCTTTAGATCTTCATATTGAAAAAACAACCAGTGGAATTTCTTTTCCTTAATTTTTTTAAAACAAATTCTTAAATAGGAAACAATTATTTTTAAATAAGAAACTTTATTTAGCTTCAAAGCCAATGCAATGTCTTAAAATAAAAGTTTTCCAACTAAGTAGTAACTTATCTCTTGATTAAAAACTTCATTGACTTCAAAAATAACGTCTACATGTTTCAAGCGCTCAGAAACAGGCGTCCATTTTCAAGATTTAAAGATTCAATATTTGAAACAAAAATGATTTGAAATATTAAACGCAAATTTTCCAACGAAAAAATGGAAAAGTAAAATTGAGGTAAAATCCTAGTAAAATCCGCATTAGCTGAAGGAGAAAAATAGAGGAAAAACCGAACAATAAAACCACAGTGGCTGAGTGATTTGTTCTTTCGGCCACTGTGGCTCTGTTCTCTGCTACTCAGGGTTTGTCTAGTCTCATTCCCTACTTTTATTTTTTTATTTCCTTGTTGGACACATTGCTTTTTATATTTCAAACTCTTTTTGTTTCGTCTCATTCACATCTCACAAATCGTGAAAATGGGTACTTGATTTTACGCGCTTGAAACATGTGGACTGTTATTTCCTATTTATATATTTTCGAAATGAATAATCAAGTAACATATCAAGTAAATCAAGTAACATATTACAACATCAGTTTTTTTTGCATTATTTTTTTAATGACTAAAAATTTTTTTGTTTCATTTTAAGTGTGAAAGTTAATGATTTGAATTAAATTCTTTTTATTATTCAGGAAAACGAGATAAAGTGATCCTTACATTTTCACTGATATCGAATTTCAAAGCTTTGGTCAGCACTAAATCTTCTTATGAAAGGCTGGAGAGCATGCACGGAATTTTAGTTTTCGGAATTATGATGGTTGCTTTGATAAACACATATTTATATCCATTGTTTATGATGCACACGTATCGTAAGTACAAATTTAATATTATTAGCCGTCTTTGGTGACCAGTTTGGTCACCTTTCAAAGTTATCTAGTACAGCATGTACATTTTATTCGTCCTTAAATATTCTAATTCTTCAACCCCTTCTCCAATCGTTACATTTTAATTAGTTTTAAGCAACATAGTGATCAATGTTTTTCACCGTCTAGCTCTTACTCTCGCCAAAGTACTGAGACTTCATTTTTAACTATTGATCCATTTAATACTTTAATCAAATGAAAAAATCACTGATAAATAATCCGAAATTCATGAATGTAATCCCTAACATACATAAAAATAAAAATTCGAAATAATATGCTTTTACATGATTATGCTATTGAAATGCACGCCGACCGGCCTGTGTAGGGGGCAAGGAACTGTCCTTGCATCAGAAAGGTCCTGGGTTCGAATCCCGGGCAAGGCATGGATGTTTCTTTCTCTCTCTGTGTGTTCTATGTCCTAAGTCCTTTCTCCCTTGTGTGTGAATGTGATCCGCCCTATAAACGGGTTGTGGTTGTGTGAATGGCGTGGCAGAAGTCGAATTCCTGACCATAAATGGCGCCACTGAAAAACAGGAACACCCATACCCCCCCTGCCTAAACAGGAATACGACAAAAAAAAATTGAAATGCACAGAAACAACTCATGTAACAGTATTTTTTCTAAAGTTTGATTTTTAATTAAAAATATAAAAATTTTAATATAATTTTAAAATGGTTATAAAAAATAAAATTACAATCATTTAACATTTGCTTGTGTCGGTTTCAGGAAGTTAAACATACTACTAAAACCGATATTTTAATTAAACATTTAAGAAAGTTTCATTGTTATTTCGCAGAAATGAATATTTTTATGAAAAGTAATTAAAATATATATATATTAAATCAGTAAAATAGGACTTAAGTAACCTCTATTTCAAATGGAATGTTAACAATTTTTATCGTAGAGTGGCACGATGTCGAATAACTTCTTTTTTTGAATAAAAATTTCTTTACACATTTCATGTGAGTCACCTAATTTTTTTTAGAAAACGTTAATTGTTTACTTGTAATTTCTGCATTTGTATAAAAACTTGAAATTGGTAGCAAAGCCATTTCGTTTTCACTCAGTTTTTCAAAGAAATAACTTATTCGTTTCTGCCACAGACTGATCATTTAGAAGATCTACTTTCAGTACTCAAAGTATTCGTCATAAAAATGTTGTAAATAAAGTTGTACACCCTTGTGCAAATTAATTGAAACAAACTTAATAAATTCAGAAAACTAAGAGAAAATGCTATTTTAAATAAATTTATACAAACTCAAAAATTTTTAGTACATAATATGATCTCCACGACACTTTGGATTCCACTAATTTTTTACAGTCATTTATGATATTTGTGTCCTTGTACCACACATATATTAACGCCGTGATTAGCTTCTCCATAGTTGTACAGTCTATATTTAATAGGCGATTCTTGCATATGGCCCAGAGATTCTCAATTGGGTTGATATCCGGAGAGTTCCCTGGCCATTCCAATGTCTCAATTTGATTCTCAGACATGAATTTCTTGACAATTTTGGACGTATGGCAAGGAGCTAAATCCTGTTGAAAAATCCCTGTTCCATCAGGGTATCGTTTCTTCAACTCTGGAACAACTTTTTTACCCATAATAGTAATGCACTGCTCAGAACGCATCATACCGTCAATAGGCTGCCAAGGTCCAACCCCATTGTAACCGAAACAACCCCAAAACATCTTCTTTAAAAAACAAGAAAAAAAAGTTTGTTTCAATTAATTTACACAAGGGTGTAGTTTTGATGGCAAGTTTGTGCTAGATGCGATAAAACTTTGCTTAATACTTCTTCAATTTTTACCTCCATAAAACCAAATTATTTCTATTTTTTTAATAAAATAATTGATAATAACCTATTAATAAAATTCATGATACATTATACAAGGTAAAATATTGATCTAATGACGCTTAATACACAATAAAATACTTATATAATGGTAAATTACGTAATAAAACACTGAAAAAAATGCATGACTGTTCAGCGTGTTGAGTTTTATTGAAAAGCTTTTGGATATTTTTTTATCCAATTTTCATTACAAGTTACGCTTTCTCAAGTTTTGTTAATAAAAAAGCATATATCATAATAAGGGGACAACAAGTAAAATAAAGAATTTTTTTATCACAGCTTATAGCAAAATCATTTTGAAAGGTGTTAATGCTTCTTTGGTCACAGAAATTTTTGATGGATACCAAAAATGAACTTTCCTATGGATTTTGTGTTGCCAGCACAAGCATTTGAAACCATTAAGGATGTTTTACGAAAGCTCCATCGTAATGTGAAATGATGCCTTTTTTATGAATAATATGCTATTTTTATAACTGTTGTGAGTTTGCAACTGTTACTCACGACTGTTAAGTCACATTTCGACTATCTAAAGCCAGTGCTGTCTACTCTTGTTTTGAAAATGACACAAAACGTCAATATGGAGAAAAGCCACAATTTTGTAAAATAGATAAGCGTTTGTAGTCTAAATCTTTAATATTTAAAAACTTACTCCAATGCTGCATTACCTAGACTTATAAAAATTTGAAATAACTGAGAATAAGGCAGTTATTTTGATAATTTTCATCTAGGGGGGAAATATCTCCAAATTGGTGGTTTTTAAAAAAAGTTTAATTACTTATGAAATATTTAAGTTATTCGTCTGCTCTAAAGCAGCTATAGTTCTTCACGGCAAGATTATATATATCGCTTAATATCTTCGCATTGCTTCAAGTGCAAGGTACTTAAACTATGGCTTTTTCCTCCTTATCGACAGAGCTTCGAAAAATAGCGTTGAAAAATGGTTATAGTTTTCTGACTGTTTAAGAATGGCCACCTTATTAAACAGACTTTAATTTAACGGATTTTATTTTTTTTAGTTCATCTTGAAGACAAAAGTTTGCGTTTAACCTCGTAAGACATTGGCACCCTAAAATATCCTCGTGTGAAAGTTTTGGGTTCTTGAAATATCCAACATTTGAAATTCGACAGTTAATAAATATGGTGTAGTTAGTAATTTTTTCAAGTTTATTTAAAAGCTTGGTTGTACCATTAAAAATAATATTAAAATGTTGTATTATACACCGAAGAGCCATTACATTATGACTACCCTCCATCTATAACAGTGGGCTCGCCCAGGTTTCCATGGTTTCTCGCATAGAAACAATATTTTCATGGGGCAGATTAGGACTCATAATCCTCATAGAACCATCCCTGACGTCTGTAAGTCACCTGAACATAGTTGCAGATCAGGTTTACCCATTCATGGCAATAGTTTTTCCTGCGGGGGATGGTGTTTACCAACAGGATAATGCACCATGTCATAAGGGTCGAATCGTCATGGATTGGTTCGAAGAACATTCCAGTGACTTTCAAGTCATGTCTTGGCCCCCAAATTCACCTGACCTGAATCCAATAGATCATTCGTGGTCCTACTTGGGAAACAAAATTCGTGCTGCCACGCTAACCTCTCACAATGTAAGGGAATTGCAGGACCAGTTGGTGAGCACTTGGTACCAGATACCTCAGACTACCTATCAGCACCTTGTGGAATCAATGCCACGGCGGGTGCTAGCAATTTTGAGGGCTAAAGGTGGTCCTTCATGTTATTAGCAAGGTGGTCATAATGTAATGGCTCTTCGGTGTTGTTATTGTGCATAAATTTCATAAAAACATAATAGCTCCGTGAAAAAATTAAAACATTTCAGCTTATTTATTTAAAACTTTTGATTTTACATCCGATATAATTTTTTTTGCTTAGTTGCGATGGAATTTCTATTTCTATTTTATATTTAATCGAGTTTCGGAGAGAAGGTTCACATATACAGTTAAAATTTTCATAGAAATTTTTACTATTTTTGAAATTTTTTCGGTTCACACAGTAAAAGAATTGGATCAAAATATAGTAAAAGGTACCGGTGCTCAGGGTGCCGGTACTTTTTACTGTTGAATCTATTTTTACCGGAGCATGTTACGGATCAAGAAGAAAATCTGATATACCGTAATTCTTACAGTAATAATTGCCAGTCTTTGACACATTCTAATTTAATAAGTTTTACTGCAAAAATTACGCTTAATATTTTACGTTAAAAATAGAGCTTACGATAAATTGGATTTTAAGATTGATGCAATCAAATTACCAGTACTCTATACCGTAACTTGACCCAGAATTTTTACAGTACGTAGCAATGAATTATAACTATTGATTTAATTACAGCTTACATGTAATTGTTTCAGATTCTCTTATGAGTGTCTATGAAATGCTGAGATATCCAATGGGTCAAATTATCATGAACAACCATGTTGTTGTAGATACATTTTTGGTTGTAAGGTATTTCATTTTTGATTTTCATTTGTAATTAATTTTAGCATAATGAATTTAAAAAAAAATGTATTTAGTGCTATATTTTAGTACCGAAATTAACGGAATTCAATTAGACACGGAGAGAAAAAACTGATAATATTGCATTGCCTAAAAAAAGAGAAAAAACATTAAAAGTAAAAAAAATATATATATATATATACTGACATAAAAATAATCGTAAAACTCTGACATAAAAGCTCTTAAAATCAAAGTATTGTAATATTAATGGAAAATCATAACAAAATCAAGTTGAATTTCGAAATTTTCCAAATTCGAATGTAGTATCCTGGGCCAGCCACAGTTGGCTCAGGAGTTAGAGCTCTATCATCCCCATGATGTAACCCGGATCTGAATTCCAGGGATGGTTGGTTAATAAGAATTCCGCATTCGGACTCAGTGGTTGACGGATCATGGGTTAGAGTCCCTTTGCTGTCAGGCCAGCCGTGGGTGGCTTATGTGGTTTTTCATTCCATGTAATGCAAATGCGGGTTAATTGTAAAAAAAGGTCTCCGCCAAGGAAATTTTCTCCCAATACTTGGTCTAGAAGTTTCCTTGTCTTCTGGATTGAGTTCAAAATTACTAGGCTACGCAGTTGAAAATTGTTAGTAGTAAACTCAAAATGGGTCAGCAGTTCAATGATTTAAAATAACATTAAATGTTGTATCCTGATTATCCAAATTGAATTATCCGACACATCTAATCATCTGAAATCCAATCTGTAGAGGGAATTTACTACTTATTTTAAAATTATTTTACCTATATCATGATTCTCTATTAAAAACGAATAATACTAATTATCTTCGATTTATGTGAATCGTTATAAATGATCGGTTAAGCTTGTGAATATAATCAAATCATACTGAAGAGATCCGATATTATATAATTTGACTTGAATATAAGGTGTTAAAGATGTTAGATGTAAATTAATTTTAAAATAACTTTCACAAAATTAAATTACATTTTTAATAAAATATTCTTACTTGTACAATTTTAGTATACCTTGTATTATTTTATTTTAACATAATATTATTTTCATAGCGGTGCCTGGATTACCTATATGGCCCTCAAACTGTGCCACATGCAGCTTGAAAAATTCGATTTTAAACTTTTTATTTTGTATAAACTTTGGAGGTAAGTTCTTAAATTCAATATTTTGTATTGTTTTCCTAGTTTTGATTAGATATTTCATAAGTATGAGTATTTACATGTGATCCTTGCTCCATGATTGTTAGAAATAAATTCAACGTTAGCATATCATTTGTATTATCAACTCTTATAAATTTCGTATATTTTTTAATGAATTTAATATTCTATTTGAATTATAATTCTTTGTAATTATATTTTTGAGTTACAATTTTTTGCCCTTAAAGGCTTGCGTGTTTTAAAGCAGATTTTACGGTTATTGGGGTACTGTAAAGTAAACGTTATTTTATTTTTTTGGAGTGGGGGGGGGTATTTGTCTTCTTTACAACTAAATTTGAAATTGTCTGATCTTGGTATTAACCAGAAATCTAGGTTTTTAAAATTTTAAATAGATATAAATTCGATTTTAACTAAGTTATTATATTTTACGAAAATAAAAATCTTAATTCAAGTGAGCTGATTTTTTTTTATTATGTTATAAATCTAGGATTTCAGGAGAGTGATCAATGAAAAGAATAACAGTGTACCCTAAAACTGACTAAAAAATCTCCAAACTCATGCTGAATAATATGACTCAAATTACATAGATTTTACGACATGAAACCGAAGACCGAACAAAATTCTGATTTTGGCGGCAACATTTTCTTCTTAAGTCATATCGTCATGACGGTTCTTCAATGCTTCTTCTACATTCGTGCGTTTCTTGCTGAGTAGCTTATGCCAAGATATTTTGATTAAAAATTAACTTTTAAAATATATTGGATATAAAGTCATAATGATACTTCATTGCTTCCTCTTCTTTTACATTCATGCCTTTCTCTTCATCATTCTCTGGCCTGAATAGCCTATACTAAGATATTTCGATTGAAAATTAAACTTTAAAAATCTGGTATATCTGGTATCTAATATATATAATTCTCTTACGTTGCTCCCAAATTTTGGCTATATTTCTTTTCCGCCAGTGGCAACTTTTGCTTTGTTTTGTTTACGTTACTATCTCTCTTACACGGCGACAAAAAAAACCGCATTACAACTCCCCGAATGGCAACGCTAGAAAATCGACCAATGATTGCCGCTAAAAATTTCACATGCCAAATCTAGGTGAGGTGGCTCAACATACAAGCGAAATAACCAGAGAGCATCAGCAATCTCATACTATTAAGCTAGACAGAAGTGAGTAGTCTTTGTCGATAGATCTCTATTTTAGTATTTTGTGGAAAGCGCTTTTTTTTACGAATTAATATATTGCGAATTTATTTGACGATTTTTGATTTATATCACGAATTATACTATAGCATATTTCTAATAGGTTTAATGAATTACATGTCATTTATTTGCATTCAAATTTATTTTAATGACTTAGTATTTACTAAAAAGATGTAATTTTTTTTTAAAAAAAAGTTTTTATATGGAATTGAATGATTGTTTTGAATTCTTAGAATTTTGTGCATTTGCAATGTACCTATCAGTAGCGAGCGAAGCGAGTTCGGTTTGCGAAGCAAACCATATAAGATCGCGTTGCAATTTTCGGGGGTTGGCGAGCATTAGCGAGCATTGGGCGCAGCCCACTAATAATAAATAATTAATCGAATATATCTAATATATTGGATATAATATTACATGGTTACTGAAATAAACATTTTCACGTAATTGCAGTAAATTTAAGTGTTTATGTGCATTTTCGATTTTGTACTTTATATTAAAAAATAATTATGGTGTGAGTTATCTATAATTTTTTTTCCAGAATTATACCTTTGTACTATTTTATTATACTAATGTCAACGCTGACTTCTGTTATGGGCTCTGGACCTAACTTTAAAGAAGCTTTGAAATTTTCTGTAGAGAATTGTAATAATTACTGGTGGAGAAATCTACTATTTATTAATAATTTCTTCGATTTTGATGATATGGTATGTATTATTGCTTTAACTATGTCACAAAATTTAATTACTTCTTGTTCTAATTGCAAGTTTTGATAATTTTATAATTCTGGGTGTTTAGTTTATATATTTTTTTATCTAATTATTAACTAATTTATATTTTTTTTTAAATATTTTTTTAAATATCTTTTTCTTATTGAAAATAAGAAAACATGTTTGTGTGTAGTTTGGAGAATTTTTATAGTTTTATAGCTAATCACCATTATAGGACTAAATTGGAGCAGCATTTTTATTCATTAGAAATCACTTGTTTTATTAAAGCGAAAAATTTGCAATGAAAAAATAATGCATAATCTGAGACTTATTCGCATTAATGATATAAAAAGCGTAATAAAAATATATTTTTAGTTTCGGTATGTTAACTAATGTGTTATTAATCTGTTATAGTGTCTAACACATTCCTGGTACATCTCTTGTGATTTTCAGTTATATTTTTCTACGTTACTAGTCCTTTTGCCACTTTTAAAGTAAGTAAATTATAAACTGCATAGTTGTTTATTTATTTATGATAACTTTCTTTATATCAGGGTCTTATAAAAATTCAAACTAATAAAACGAAATATTTGAAGAAAAATAATTTTGCCGACAGTATGTGTATTTCAAAACTACTTGTTAAAAATATACACAGAAATTCAAAACATTGTGAAATGTAGAATTTGCATTAGCGCAAATGGGATTTTAATGGCCATTTGCAAACTTAAAATATTTTTCTCCTAACAGTATTTTCCTCTCAGAGTAATTTTAACTGCGCGCACACACACAAGAAAAATGCCGATGTTTTTAAACTTGAATTTAAGAAAACTAGAAAGATATAGAAATGTACAGTTTGATGTGCTTCGCCTAAGTTATTTGAAATTTATTTTAACCAAATTTCAAAGTTCGTAATAAAGTTTGTCAAGAAAAAATGTTAAATAACTGAGAAAAACTACAAAACAATGTTTTAAAAATTGAAAATTATTTGCAGGCAAAAAGAGTAATTCAGACTGAGGTCGAAATTAACAGACGCCGGCGAATATATTTTTCTAGAATATTTTTTCTATGTCTAAAAAGCAGCTGATAACATTGTCTTATAGTTTTCAGTTAGCAACGCTATCTGCATATGAACTTTGAGACTAATTTCACGTTCTAGGACTCTATCTTAATGGTTCCAGGGAGTCATCTCGAATATGCTAATTAATTTAGTGCGGGTGATATTTTAAGTTATAGAAAACAAGATAAAATCTTTTTCATTTGAATAAACATACCTTTTTGCGATGATTCGGATTTTCGACTCCCAGTTCTCATGTTTTGGTCAAGAGAGCGATTCAAAGTTCGGATTTCTTAATGTTAACTTTCCTTTTTGCATATTTTGCCATATCTCGAGAACTTTTTAAGGGAATTGAAAATTTTTGGAGACAATTAGAAAATTCGTTTATAGAAATATAATTAAATGCAAAAACTAAATTTTAGCATATATTTATTATTTGTTATCATTTTATTTAATAACAGTCGAAAATATTTTGAATTTACATCATTTCAAATTGTGTAATTTTACATAACGAAATGCAAAATTTGAGTGAAATCGGCTGAATAGTTCCTGCAAAATCGAATTTTAAGAAAGTCGTATTGAAATTCGATTAAGTGTTTACAACTCGATTAAGATTCGATAAAGGTCGATTATTACATGATTGAGATCTATTCGATTAAATGCTTTTAGCTGCATTAAGGATTTCTAAATTGAACGATAAACGGTTTGCTAAAAGTAATTTTTATGCAAATTTTATGTAAAAAAAACTGTTAGACAGCGAGAGTATCAAAGTTCTAAGTTGGACTACAATTTTTGAGGTTATGAAAGCAAAAGGAAATTAAAAGTCTCTGATTTACTGCATGAATTGATTTTTCATGGCTAATGATAAATGAAGAGTAGTAATTTATTTAGCATTACTTTATTTTTTAATTACCCATTAATTTACTTCATTACTTTCGCCATCTTATGAAATGTGTTCTACTTAAGCTTGCGTAACATGAATTTACTTTTAGGTCACAAACTATGGGACTAATTATAACCGTAGTGATTGTTATTGCTTCTGTAGTATACACTGGATTAATGACCTATCTATATGATCTAATACCAGGTCTAGACATTTCGTATATGGATAAAGAGTAAGTTCTTTTTAATTATCTTTAATCTAGAATATTGTTTTTGATAGTTGAAGAGCTGAGTGGGATGAAATTTCTTAAGGGATATTTAAATTACCTTGAGTGACATTTTTAAAGTGACAGCTTTTAAAGTAAATTCCCTGGTAACAGAAAATACAAATCATACCCTGATTTTATTATTAGTTCGTCATCATCCAATAAAAAAATATAAATTCCAAATATTTTAAATGTTTACATCATAGCATTTGTATTCGGGGAGTTTCAGGCAAGAGGTAGGATTTCTAAAGTTAGTCGCCGACAGCATATTGCTTAATGCGTTTGTTTTTTAATAAAAAAGGAGCACCAATTTAAAATGAAATTAGTAATATTTTACCAAATTAATACCAAACATCAAATTTAAATTGAAAATAATTTTTGAAAACATGTAGAATTTCTACTACGTGTTTTCAAAACAATGTGCTACAAGAAATTTTCCTATCGGGTAAAAGTTTACATGCACATTCAAACAAATAAGCAGCATTTTTTTCTCCTGCAGCGGGATAATTTATAATAGCACCAGGGAACAATTTTTTTTGTGTTTTTTGTTGCAGGTGCTTTTTTTTTAATAGAACTTTGATAATTTCGAATCACTAATTTAAAATCTGCAATTGGTTTCCTTCTCTAAGCTACAGTATTTTCTTTAAGTTTTTAGTCTATTTTTTGTACAACAAGTTTAAAAATAAGTTTACAAACAAACAAGTTCATAAACGTTATACGAACCATGGGATCATGTAAATATTGTGAGAAACTTCTACGGGCGTTAAGGCGCATCATCGGGATTTAAATTGCATGCGAACCAAGCCCGGAAATGTCATAGGCCATTGGTGACTCTTCCTTATGAACTGCTTCTTCGTGTGCTTCTGAACAGGTCATAATAATGAACCTTAGTTAACAGCGTATGAGGACATTTTCGGGCACAGCTTCCTATGTAATTTCCATTCTGATGATATATCCTAACTACCCTAGAAGTTTCTCGCAGCATTTATGATAACTCTCTTAGAAGTACATAGCAACATTTTGGTGACCTACTGTTCTATTCAACATTTTTAAACTCTTACATTTAAACAAAAAGTAAATTAAAATGGCACTAAAAAATTGGTTGTTTTAGGAACAACACTAATTTCAGTTTCAAAATCCCCTCACCCGAATTAGGCTAGGTAAAGTATTTTTATAAATGCAACAAGAAACTGTTTACAGTGTAACAGATAAAAACAATATTTATTACATATTTACTTAAATATTTTCATTGCAGCTTTCGATCTGAGTCATACTTGAAAGTTATAGCAAATCCGTTAACTCATGCAGGACCCTATTTTCTAGGAGTTTTTGTGGGATACGCTGTAGCAGTGAAAAAAGATATTAAAATACCAAAAGTAAGTCATTCTAATTCTTCTTTTAAGCTAACATGAATAAGCCATTGAAGTGCTCATCAAGTGCCATTTATAAGAAAGCAAATCTTTCATCCTAAAAACCAGTTTTGTTACGAAAATATGAAGAAATGTAAACGTTTTTGAAACTGCTTGAAAACACTTATGAATATGACAAAAAAAAGGAAATGTTAGTTGTTTATTTTTATCTTCGTAACCAAGTTATGTTACTGGTAGTTAGTTACTTTATTTACATCGCACTAGGGCTATTGGCGACAATCTGGGAAGCATCCCTGAGGATGATCCAAAGACGTGCTCTCATCAATCTTGATCTTCAGCAGAGGGGATGGCTCCACTGATTTGGTAGCCCGAAGACTTGTGGGCGAGGTCAAACACTTTACGGTGGAGTAGTTTAACGAGAACCGATACCGCGTAACCTCAGTTTTTTCTCAAGTGCTCACCCACCCGCTTACTGACAGTAGTCAGCGATGCTTGCCTTCGTTGTTCTACTCTTAACCGTGTCTTCACTTTCAGTCAACTGCTGGACAGTTATGTTACGAAAATATGTAAGGTACACTTTCTGAAATTTCTTAAAAATACATAAAAGCATTGTAGAAATATTTCGAATATCTGTATTCATGGATATTCTCCAAGAAATATATCTAAGGGTAAAGGTAACTTTTAATTTTTTTAGAAATATAAATTATTATTCATTTTATTTCTTTAACAGAAATATCAGATACTTGGTTGGTTTATAGCTGTCTTATGTGGTGCATATACAATGTTGTGGACAATTGTCTGGCGATATTACACGCCTGGTTTATTAGAAACATCAATATTTGCTGCTCTCCAGCGAACTATCTGGGGAGCAGGTGTTGCTTGGATGTTATTCTGTTGTTGTACTGGACATGGAGGTAAGTCATTGATATGCTTATCAATAAATTTTTTTATTTTGAA